CATCCAACCTAAATCTTTCCTTTCTCAACTTAAAACCATTTCCCCTTGTCCAGCTGTTATCTACCCTTTCAAAGAATTGACTCCCCTCCTGTTTGTAGGCTTCCTTTAGGTACTGAAAGGCTGTCCTCGTAGGGGAGGCGCTCCAGTCCCCTGATCATCTTCAAGGCTCTCCTCTGGACCCTCTCCAACAGCCCTCTGTCTTTCTTGTACTGGGGGCTCCAGACCTGGATACAGTACTGCAGATGGGGTCTCACAAGAGCAGAGTAGAGGAGGACACCTCCCTGTCCCTGCTGGCCACCCCTCTGCTGATGGAGCCCAGGATACCATTGGCTTTTGCACTGAATCGCATTGAGCTGCTGTGCTAAGACAATGGATTTGGGCAAGCAGGAATTTCATAGGATTTAAATCAGAGTATTAATAATAAGAAGTAGTGGGGTGCTGTAAATATTAGGGACTTGAGATTTGGATGGTTGGGTAGATGGAACAGACCCTGACATGTTTTGGTTTGTCTACATGCAATTAAAGAGCTGTTGAATAAGTGAAATGAGTAAAATGCAGACAGCACATGTGCAGTGGAGCACACCCAGACTTGGCCCTGTGGTTTAAAGCTAATCTGCCCAAGAGTTTGATAGTAGTGACTGAGTGACAGCAGGTGCAGCTCTTCTTACACTGCTGTGAACTCTGCTCACAGCTCTTTGATTCTTTTTAGCAAGCACTTGATGTGGGCAGCATGCCATACATTTTATACATTCCAAGTCTCAATGACTAGATGTCACATTTTTTTTCTCCTATTACCTGGGAGGTATTCCCCTAAGACAAATTACCCTCTTCTTTTCCTGTTTTCCCCCGAAGTAGCCAGATACAGCAGGTAGGCAGAGACACTGGTATGACAGATTAACAGTGATGTATATGGAAGTAGTAATCTGGTTTTATTCAGAAGATCATGTCTTAACATACATGACATTAGTTATATGGAGCAGAGAATAATTGCACGTTATTACTCTGTGATAATATCTGCTGTATTTCAAGCTCTTGAAGCAGCCTAGTTCTGCTTAATATAAGGCCTGGATGGTGGGAGTGTGTGTGCTATGTCTTAATTTTTTGTCTGGAACATTTTTGTAAAAACAGCAAAACTTTTTTTTTGGTGAAAAAACCTCAAGACTGGGATGCATAATTTGCAAGGACATTGACAGCTTGGTCCAGATGTCAGGATGTGGAGAAGTTTGAGCAGAACCTAAGCCTTGGGTTTCAGTTTGAATTCAAAATCTGTTTTGAATTTCAAGTTTGCATAACAAAAGGAAAAATGTTTTGATGTTTTGACAGTTGCACTCCATTGTTTCAGATCTGTTTCTTGCTTTTAGAACCTCATATAGCTTTCTCAGCTGTTGATTGCTTGTGGCTTGAAGTAAATCTGTCCAACAGACTACAGAAAGTTACTTTATCCTACTGCATGGCATTGCTTTTGGGACCTAGCTGTGCTTTATCGTAGCTTCTGCAGGGCTTAGTTTTGGTTGCATTCCTCAGCAGGTGCAGTTGGTTCATTACCATGAAGTCTCTTTATGTGTGACCCAGATTGCAAGGGCTTTTTTTTTTCTTCATTAAAATGATCCGTATTTTGTGCTTAAACTCTTGCAGTACTAATGATGCCTGAAAAATCAATTAAGTTCATTAGTTTGAATTAATCTCTAACCTGCTTGGACGAATGAAGCAGATGCTTCGCCTTTGGAATCAAGAGCAAAGCTTCTATTCACTTCAAGGTGATCAAGATAAGAATACTTGCCTTTTAAAGCTGGTAGCTGACTCGTGTTGCAGGCTAACTAACATTGTACCCAGCACCTCGAATGGCAGATCATGTGGGAATACCTTATGAGGTCACTTTTCAGGGAGGAAACTAGTTTTGTTGTTGCTGTATTAAAGGTAAGCGTTCTTGATGACGGGACTTCTATATTAAGTCTTATACCCCAAGGTAGGAAGACATCTAGAAGACCCCTGCCATTACAGAATATGGACTGAAATGTATTTTGTTGTCGAAGACAGCAAGTGCTGTCCCAGCAAAGAACAGACCAATGCATAAAACTGTGGCAACTCTTAAATAGGTAATATTCAAATCACGATAAAGCTTTCTGTAAATTATTTTTAGATGCATTTTCATGCAGGTAGAAAAGACCATATAGTGTTTCCCATTTTTCTGTGAGTGTTTCTGATTTCCTTCTCTCCAAGGAGCAAGACAGAGTATGAGAAGAATTCTCAGAATGGGAAGACAATGTGAGCATAGCCCATTTATTTTAACTACCTTTGAGTACCTGAGTTGCTTTGGCTGTGAGTCTAGTTTGCCTGTATCTTTTTGGAGGTTAATGAGGGCAGCTGGTTCCTTTCAGACAGCACTTTGGGAGGTATCAGCATATGCTCAACCACTGCACTTGGAACCTCATGTTTTTCTTATGAGGACATACTGAGATTCTGGTTGTACAGGACATCAGCACATCCACAGCCAGTTCTCAGCAAGAGATGTGCAAGAGCTCAAAACTAGACAGTAAATAAAAGGGATTGTGTAATATGCCACGCTTAGCCAAATCTACTTTGTAATGAATGTGGCAGTGATTTTTTTTTTCCTGGGGCTCTTGGATGCAAATAGGATCCTATGGTTCTTTGTAGACTAGAATTTGTTTGTTTGTTTGTTTTAAAAAAAGAAAGCAACCGACCAAACCTCTAAACATAAGCATATTCCTGTTGAAAATATGATTTACATAAAATAAAATTTTCCATGTAAAAGTGCTGCTTATTTCAGTGGGAATATTCTGAGTGAAACATCTTGTTCAGAGCAGAAAAGGGGGAAATTATTCGTATTTGGAATATGCTTGAAGAAAAGAATCTTCTCTTTTCAGTGTCTGTCAGCCTAGCTCAATATGGCCTGTGCTTCTGAGGGGTTCTGCACCATGTCTTCTGAAGTCCTGTGCTGGATGAGGCAGCCAGGAAAGGATGGTTGCCTGGATTATTACTTATAAACTCAACACCTTTGAACCCAGTGATTCTGATAGTAAAATAAAGGGAGATTTAGCTTCTATCAGTCTCCTTCTCAGGATCAGTTGCTGCGAGTCTGCTGTTTGTGACCAAATAATTGAGGTAGTGCTGTGAGGTAGGGGAAAAGAGGGAGTATGCTGCAGCAAACATTAGTACCTTTTCTGTTTAATGTCTGGCCTTCATCTCATAAAATCTAGGAGTTGCTGGTAATGTAAATGCTTTGGTTCTTCCGCTTCCTCTTCACTGATCAGTCTTTTGGATGCAGATTTTCCAAGTCACCATTTGAGCTATTGCTTCATTGTGGGGATAAGCTGGAGGGGAACTGCCAATAAAACAAATATGTATCTATGCCGTTGTATCAAAAATGTGAAGAAACATGAAGCAACTATCCTATCTGTGTGTATAGAGGCTCTCCAGGCTATAGGAATTGAGCACATCTGTGTGTAATTGTTAGAGCATCTTATCAGGCAAGCAGCAGGAACTTGGACCAATGCAGCTATGTTCTTCTGAACCATGTAGTAAAGTTAATTGGTCATTGTGAGCATGTCAAGCAAATCTATTAACTGAGATTCTTAAGCTGTAATTTAAGAGAGCAGAATGCCCTTCTGCAATATACAACTTTCTCCTAGATATTAAGAATCTGTTTAAGGCTGTGGATATACTTAGCACAGGCCAGTCTGTCCCCTGTTCACAACGTTTCACTGAGCTATATATATGTAATGCTGCTTAGAGTGAGCTGCATGGAAGAACTGGCCCCTGCAGGTGTAAAACCTGCTCTTCAGGGCCCAGCAAGCTGGCTAAGTTTCTCTTTGGATAAGCGTGGAGACTCAGAGGGATCTGCTTTATCAGCTTTGAAAGTGAGAAGCCATGACATCTAGTTGTCATAGGGCTTTTTTTCAGGATGTGGCAGCTGTTCATAACATTGGTGTAATTACAAAAATGCATATTCTGTTTTGACTTTTGATGATAATTTGTTATGATTTGGTACTTACTGCGTTTGGGAAAACAATGCACTATTGTTTCACTCTTTATATGTACATTTTTTCCTAATGTCATGAAATGATCTTTCATTGAATTTCTGTGTCCTAATTTTTCCTTTCAGTAAGAGCTGATTTGGGGAAAATACCATTATTAATGCCTTTTAGCTTACTGACTTATGAAGAATGATTGAATGCTGATCTGAAGTAGTTCTTAGCGTTTGGACAGGCAGCAGTGTATTAAAATACTATGTCTCCTGGAACATATTTTGGAGGGAAATGGTATGTTAAGAGTATGGATCACTTTAGGAGAAGTATAAATGTTTGTGATGCTGTACTGTCGTGGTGAAGTTCATCATTTACCATTATCAGCAATGAGACCTGAATCAAAACCTTTAATATTGCATTTACTTGCATCATGGCTAATGCTATTTCAACATTTCACTGAACTGTCATCAGCTTCTACTGAAACGCAGAGCTGATGATAGTGGTACTTAAACACATGCTGGACAGAAGCTCTGACAGTTCTGTGCAATTTACTTGAACACATTCACCTGACAAAGGCATTTTTATACCTGCAGGTATTGAGGCAGTGCCATTTAATTATCAGTGCATACATCTTCTGCAAATTGTAATTCAGCTTGCACGTAAGAAATAGGTTTTCTAAGAACATACTTCAAGCAAAACATTTCTACTTAGGTACAGCCTGGAGAAGCAACAACTTTTCCCTGAGCTGCTTGCTGAAGGGCTGTTATGTTCATGCCATAGAAGCTGCATGGCTGGACTGACTGATTGATGCAATCAAGTGGCTAGACAAGGAGCTGTTACAGCAGAAAAACATTTTAAACATCAGGTTTTTTAAAGGTGTCTCAAGGCTTACACTCCAAACATTAACCAATTTAAATAAATAAATTGTTAGCATTATGCTTGGGACTTTTGAGCAGTGATTAAAGAGGTAGTTTTGTGCGAACACTTTTAAAATGATGTGTTCTCTCCTTTCAGGTCCTTATGTACGCTAGTGTGCAAGTGGACGTATGCTTCAGATGGAGGTTGGGATGACAGTTTCTGGAAGATGATTGGCTTGGAAGATTTGGTGAAGGACAAATATGAAAAAATAGGTGTGTTGGAGGGAAAAAAATGCTTATAGCTGCTATTGTTAGGATGTTTGTAACCCATACCAATGTCCTTTATGGTAATTTTCCAAAAATGGACTTTTGCTTGTTAGTATCTTCGTACTGTTTCTCCACTCTCTTTGAGCCTGAGTTTAATTAGAATGGTAGGCTTGCTAATAGCAATTCCTACAGCAGTTATTCATTAAAAGTCCATAATGTTAATATACCAGAAAATTTCCAGGATAACTTTATTAGACTTTCCCTGTTAAGTTAATGGACTTTTAATGGATGTCCTAAGCAGACATGTCATTAACAAGAATATTACCAGACATGAATTAAAATATGCTCGTTCATCAAAGTTAATTATCTGAAATTTCCTTTGATTTTTTTAATGTCTAGTACTTTGAACAAGTTTGTACAGTAGTTAAAATGCAGCAACATGAAATAGAAATGGCACGGGGAGGACTGTAGTGAAGTGAAACATGATGAAATTATGAACTGTTCTGATCATCACAAAATATACTATAAGCTATTTTCAGATAGATAATTGTATCTGAAAACTTCCTTGAGTAGATTTCAGCATTTCCCCCTGCCAATGAAAGTGCTTACTCAAAGGTATAAAACCTACTGAATATAAGGTTTGTAGCTTTCTGAGGTTTTGGTGACAAATGTTACAGGAATGGTATTCAAACATGTGGCTTTTAGCAAATCTTCTACTGCTTAAAGTAAGACTTGCAGCAAATACATGTTTTTAGCAGAAAATAAATGTCTCAGCAGCTGATGGTCTTGTGGAATAGTATTTTTAAGATAAATTATTTACGAACTGTAAGTTAAGGCTTTAATACAATATTTATGCAATACACTTAAAAGGCAGTGCAAAACAATTTGCCTCTTTAAGTAACTCAACATACATGTTTCAAGTACCCATTAATAAAAAGGACCTTTTTGTTGTGATGGGGGCCTCATAAAGCTAATCTGTTCGTGGCTCAAAATTTGGCAATACGAGAATAATGAATTTGCAATATGAGGCTTATAATTTTTTCAAAACACGATATTTACAGAGCAAATCAGTAAATTAGCTTCAGTTGACAGGTGCTTCTTGGAAAAAAAGAAATTATTTTCAGTTAACAGGAAAAGCATCTGTTTACTTGGACACTTGTACTGTTTTTCAAACAAATAACCATCAGTCTAAACCCTGTCTTATAGTTGTCTCTGTACTTGTGAAACAGACAGTTATAACACTGTTCCAGTGAAAATTGGGGGTTTTATTTGGTTTACTGAATGTTAAGTGTTACCTAACTTACTAGGAACACTCTTAGTGAGCTCAGCTTTCCTTTGCTTAATTTAAACTAATGAAAGCAGTATAGGTCCATCAACCAGGGAAGTGCCATTCATTGACTGCAGCAGCACTGGTCAAGTTGCAGCAGGAACAATCTTGTGTTATGGAAGACCCCCTGGCAGCTCCAGAAGTGTCAGCAGTATTGGTGAGGAAGCAGCATCACATAGACCTCCTCCCAAGAGCCCAGGAATGCTGCTCTAAGCACAACAAATAAGGGATCAAGCCTTTGACAATCTCAGTTGAGTCTGTATTTCTAATACTGCTTCAGGCAATGTCCCATGAAATGAACTACCTCCGTTCCCATTAACTTTAGCACGTTATACAAAACGAAAGCTATTTGTTTAAGTAACTCGTATGGTCAGCAGTGTGTTTATAATACTGTGCTGTGCCTAACAGAACAGAATGCTAAGCAGTGCATTTAGCTGCCTTACAGATTAAGGAACTCGAAATTGACAGATAACCTGGGTAGGAGTAGGTTGGTGGGAAACTGTACAAGGTCAAAAACTCCTCTTCAAATAAAAATATAAACAAGACCCTAATAAGTCTGAAGTAATTCTTATGGAATTTCCCTTTTTGTTCTCCTGTAGAGCTTGCCCAAGCCCAGATACGTCTGCTCAAGGTTTCTTTAGCTCAAATAAAAGGACATATTTTAATGTCTGCCCGTTCCCATTGAAAAGAGTGATAGGACAGATAGGGGAGAAAAATACCACTAAAAGATTTGAAGCACTAGGCTGTGAATCATAATTTCTTTCTAAAGAAAGCAAAAATCACAAAATAAAATCAGCTGAATTTTCTTATTGTAACAGAAATATGTAGTTTTGCCAGTTTTCAGGGCGGAAATGTTATTCATTCTTAAATCTGTAATTGAAGTTGGTGTTGCTTCCAATCAGAGGATGAATAATTATGACTGGAAGGTTTTTTGAAGTAGCTTTAACTTTCATGGCACTGAAAATACGTATGGAAATTACCTGAGAGAAACTTATTTAATGTACTTATTTTTTTTTATTCTGATAAATACGCTTTTCAGCATCACTTTAAAAGGTCTTGCCCTTTAAGAATCTGTTTACTGTAATCAGAGCAGTGCTTGTGGTTCCAGGTACTATGCTTCTTGTAGTTTCAGTTTAATGTAACGTATAACCTTGTTGATTAAGGATGACCCTCACTTCTGACCTTTAGCATCATCCACAGACCTTTCCCACATCAAAGTGTGGGTTCACATATGAAAATTCCCAGGCCTTTGACATTTTGCGTTTCTCAGAGCAGAGTAACCTTTCGGGGACTCCACAGAATAAGTTGTCTGTGTACTTTGTGAACGTTCCAATCGCTTTGGTGAAGGTAAAGATTTGTATCTGGAAATATTTTAAAATTTATTGATCTCATTAATTTGCCCACCAAGAGAGCAGAAGATGGCTTGTATTCAAAACCACTGTGAAAGCATTGCGTACTACAAGCATTAGCATTTATCTGTTGTGGTGAAAATGCATGACAAGTATCTCTTTGTGGTATTCTAAAACCTAGAAGGACATTAACAATTCCTTTAAAATTTCATGTGCTGTAGACCTCTTAGGGTACTGCAGTGTGTATTCCATTTGGAGGAAAAAGACTGATAAATTTTCACCACGACTCTCTACTTCAGGGGCTACTTAAGGGACCAGATAATGATTTCTTATTGAATGGTAATATTTTATGCTAGGTCTGTTTTTGTTTGAAAATGGCTCAATTTACCTGGGAGAACGCAGTGTGTATTGCCCGGCACTGTTCCTGTGTGTTGTGTATGGAAGGCTGACACGTTGTTGACAACCCTAGCTCTTTGCCATCTCTTGACCATAAGCCCTCCCTTCATTCCAGGACACTGAGACCTGGAATTTTGATGGTTTCATGTGCTTGCCTAGGCCATTTCTGAGTGTCCTGAAAAGTAAGATCTGTTGAACTGCAGAAATATGTGAATATTCATATCTAATGTTCTTTAATTTGTATCACTTATTCATAAATTAATAATAAAGAAAACCTTATCCAGTTTAGGATTTTGACAAGGTAGCTGTGACTCTTTTGACATGTTACCACAGAATCACAGAACTGTAGGCGCTGGAAGGGACCTCTAGAGATCGAGCCCAGCCCCCTGCAAAGCAGGGCCCCTACAGCAGGCAGGTTATCATTCTTACTGTGAGAAAGCTTTACAATATGAGGGATTTTCAGATGTAGGTAAGTGAAGCCTTTTGGTCTTTTAAGCATTCAAACAATTAAGAAAATTGCGAGCTTTTTGTTCATGAACATTTTATATGAACAGTTATAGTGTTGCATATGCTATTATGTACTTCCATATACAAAACTAACAGAGGTAATGATATTGTGTACTCCGTTGTTTGCACTTAGCATCCTTTTGCTTTTGTGTTTTGTTGGAAGCAATCCATTTTAATCCTTGTAAATTCTATTAATTTATTTACATTTTAGGGTGAAAACGGAAGAATCAGCGCAGGGTGGGAGAATAGAGTGAATATTAACTTACACTGCAGCAATCTATTAGTTCAGCCAATTTTCTAACTTCTGTAAGGCCTTTGATGCCAGGTCTTCCAAAGTTTATGAGGGATTATCCTTGAAGGCTAGAAGAGGCAGATGATGATTTTTATTCAGGTCAACTCATAACTGCCAGTTCTTCACAAAACTGGGTTTTAAGAATGAGCTTTAAACATCACACTTTGCAAATAGTAGACAATGGTAAGTAAAACATTTCTCTTCCATATGGAATCCTTTCATCTTTTTTGTCTTCTCCTACTCCCAATAAATTAAAACAGGTTACAATTTTGAACAAAGTTAAAACAATGAATCACAGGATATTTACACTTATCTGTGGAATTTACAAGTGAAGAGTGTTCCAGATGTATTAACATTTTTTTTTCTGGCTTCCTGTCACTTCAAACCATCCAAGAGCTGCAGCAACTGTGAAGGAGGTGAAACTGGCACAGTGCAAAGCAGTTTTAGGGTTCCTCCTGCCTCGAGGCTTGAGGCATTTTCCATAATCTGTGATTCATCAGTAACAAGTTATTTTTTCTTAGAAAAGTGACATTGACCATTGACTTCTACTTTTTTTTAAGTGTTGAGGTCACTGAATCACATGAATGGTTGAGGTTAGAAAGCATCTCTGGACATCATGTAGTCAGAATCCACTGCTCAAAGCAGGGTCATCTGCAGGAGGTTGCTCAGGGCTGTATCTTCAGTTTTGAGTATTTCCAAGGATGGTGAATCCAAAATCAACCTTTTCCAGTGCGTTGGCCAGCCTTTCTCAATAAGAATGTTTATTCTTATGATTAAATGTATTTTCATGTATATCAGCTTGTGGGCATTGCTACTGCATGCCACTGAGAGGAGTCTTGCCCTGTAATAGAAATTTAAGTAGAAACCTATAAATAATACAAGCTATACAATTGTGCATGCAATCCTAGTGACATACTGTACCACACCAGACTCTGATTCCTGCAGCTTTGAAAGTACAGCAGTAGTCACATCATCTACACTGATGATGCTTGTTGAGCTGCAGTATCTAGAGATGCTGTTAGGAATAACATACTGTAGGTTTCAGAAATACAAATGATTGGTGTACTGAAATTACTGATTGCAAGCAAAATGGGAGGTTGGGCAGCTGACTTTAAATGCCAACATGTTACGTCTA